ATCTGACCTGCTTCAAGTGCACTGTAGAACTTCTCGGTGACGTAGTTGGGCGACACGGTGTTTCTATGGCGAGGTCGAACTTGTAAGTGCGACTTCACGCAGTGCGCCACCTCCTGCCGCTGCTCGCCCACGTACCTGGGTGCGCGGCGACATGGGGGAGGTGGGGCACGGGGCGAGAAAGGGGATGTGGAGCGAAAGGACTTCCTGAAGGGTTGGAGAAGTAGAATGGTGAGGAATGGCGTGCCATGGGCGCAAGGACAAGGCCTTACGGATGCGCGCATTCGGGATACAGCGCTGCCTCGCGGTTGCTTCCCCCCATGTTGTTGCTGCACGCGCCAAAGCTGTGGTGGGCCAGCAGCGCAGCAGCGAGGCCAGCAGGTCAGAGCGCCATGGCACCGCGCAGTTGGACGAGGCGTGGTGCACCGGGACGTCCTGGGGGGGTTGTATGCAGGGGAGGGGGGGGAGGTTAAGAGTCACCGAGAAAGAAAGGGGAGATTCATGGGAGGCTATGAGTGACAGAGAAGGTGCACAGTGTGCAGGTTGAGAGTCCACAGCACACAAGGCAATGTGCCTGCGTGCATGCACACACTTGCCGTTTCCCGGGAGCCAGGAGGTGCTGCCTGCCCGCCTTGAGCGAGCGCTCCACGTCCACGTACGTCAGCTGCACCTCGCTGCGCGCCGCGTACCCCACGGCCACGTCCACGCGCCCCTCCCTCTTGGCGGCCGCCAGCGTGGCGTCCGCCTCCAGCTGGAGCAGCACGCGCAGCGGCGAGGGGGGGGGCGCGTGAGCGGCATGGCGTCGGGGGAGTGCACGAAGAGCTGCGCGTGGGGGGCAGGGACGCGCGCAGCAGAGAGGGATTCCAGGCGAGCTGGGGGGAGGGTGGGGCAGTGGAGGGAGGCAAGGTGGGGGCAGGGACGGGAGGGCAGGGAGGATGAGGCTGAGGAGAGAGGGAATGGGGAGTGCAGGCGTGCAGGTGCGGTGGCATGCCATGGCAGAGCGCGTCGTGCGGCAGCATGGTTGCACAAACGCCTGGGCTCACAGCGCCTGGGCTCACAGCGCCTGGGCTGAAGATAACTAGGGTGAGAGGGCACCTGGCAGGTGATGCCGCATCTGGGGCACACGTGGAAGCCGTCCAGCCCTGTGGGCTCCAGCCAACCAGGCTGCACCACATCCACCAGCACGTGGGAGAGAGTGAGCGACGCACATGGCGGCGAGGTCACATCCTGAGGGCGGAGGGTGCGGCGGCGGGGAAGACGCGAGAGCGGGGAGGAATGGAGAGAGAGGGGTGCGCTTCGGGCATGTGGATGGGGAAGGGTGGTCGTATGAGGGACACCGCCAGGCTTGGAACGGCAGAGCGAGCATGAGAGGACAATGGGAGTGGCTGCAAGGGAGCACGTGTGGGTCATGGGTGGGATGGAACGCCAATGCCAAAACGTGGCTCGGCTCGGAGTGGGGAGCACCTGGAGGCTCGGATTGGTTGGGAACGCCGCTGGTCCTCGCCTCGTGTGCTGCCCATGGGCCTCGGGGCCGCCATGCTTGCGCCTGAACGCCGCGCCCCACCTGCTGCTCCCACCGACTGCACGCGAAGGCCGGGCGAGGGACGGAGGTGGGGGGGAGAGGGCAGGGGCAGCGGAGAGCACGTGTGATGGGCCCGCGAGAACGCACATTGCGTGGCATGGTGGATGCAACGCGGCACGAGTGACGCGCGCGTGTCGACTACCTGGCCGCCTCGCGCATGTCCATCCCCCTCCACCTCCACAGCCGCGCCTTCCCCAGAAGCCGACACATTCTGCAATCCGTGCGGCGCCGCCACATTACGAATCCGCTCCGCCAGTCGCGTCCATCCTGCGCCAACCACTGCCATGACTGCGCGCCTCGCCAGTCAGCGTCACTCTCGCGCCCAACGCTACCCCTGGATCCCCCGCCGCGATCAGCTCTCGGTCGCGCGCGGGGTAGCTGAAGCGGAAGAGAAGCGCTGCGCCCCACGCGCACGCCAGAGCTAGGAACAATGCGAGCCACACGCGGGGCCCTGACTGGTGGGGATCTAACACGTGCGTTGGTCGGATTCATGGGACGAGGGCTGGCGGACGAGTGGAGAGAGAAGTGCAGCCAAGCGATGCTAAGCACAACGCTGACGACATTCGAATGCGGCTTGGCAATGATGGCTGGAGGAAGAAGTGGCTGGGAGAGGGTAAGGCTAGCGCATGTGGAAATGCGAGGGTCTCGTCGTCAATGCAGCATTTGGCGAGGCAGCTGCTCCTTTCGCCAGTTCGCGAGCGGCTTCGTGTACATTTCGCCAACCCACACACCCCTGCATCAGGTTGGAATCCCTCGGCGCTTGGCTCGAATACGTACTTCGTGGTGACACGTTGCAGCATGTTGGCGAATTCTGCCGAAAGCAACGCACGAGGGCGCATTCCCAGCAACTTTGGTCACATCAGCGGGAAACGTCACAATTCTCAGGGTCAGCTATTGGTGCTGTTGTTGTTGCTTCTCTACTGCACTGAACTGCCAGCCTCGTTTTCCAGTCGCGTTTCTCCATAACGAGTCAGCTGCCATTCTCCTCTTCTCCCTCCCCCCCTTATCCCCCTCGAAACCACATCATCGGTTGGCGTGTCACTCTCTCCTCCTCTCCACACCACACGTGGCGCATCGAGATCTTCCCTCGCCCGTGTTTGCCGCTCGCTCACTCTCACCCATGGCGGGCCTCGTTCAGATCGCGTCCGTCTCGACGGCGGCGCGCGTCCCCGCTTCCCTTAACGCAATCAGCAGCGACCTATCAGGCAGCCGCCTCGCTTCCATCGCGCCTTCCCGCGCTCGCGTACAATGCGGCGTGACGTACGCGCCGCCGTCGACGGCGCGGCTGGAGCTGCTGCGCGAGGCGGAGGAGCGGTTCGCGCGCGTGGAGCGGCAGCCGACGGAGGGCGTGGCGTTCACGGCGCTGGAGTTCGAGGAGGCGCTCGAGAAGTACGACTTCAACTTCGACATCGGTGACAAGGTGCGCGCGCCGCACGCGATCAGTGGCGCGCAGCGGACGCGAGACAGGGGGCGGACTAGGGTTTACGCGCGTATGGAAGCGAAGGACCTAGTAGAAAGCGGAATGGCGGATTCTAGGGTTTTAGTCCGTGCTGGCTGCGCGAAGTTTCTTCTGATGCAAGCGGCGGACGCAGTCGAACCCTAATGCGTCTTTTCGCCGCGCCGAATTCCGGCTGACGGTTTTCGTCCCGTTCGCGTCGCCAGTCGCAATTCAGGGTTTTCAGGGTCCCGATGGATCCGCCTCTTTCCTCCTCTCTCCCCCCTCCTGCCTGCCGCGCCCCTATCATCCCCCCCTGGCTCTCCCGCGGCTCTTCCCCTTAGGTCCGCGGAGTGGTGTTCAAGGCGGACAACGCGGGCGCGCTGATCGACATCGGCGCGAAGGCGCCGGCGCTGCTGCCGCTGGCGGAGGCGTGTCTGTTCCGGCTGAAGAACATGAGCGACACGGGGCTCGTGCCGGGCATGGAGGCGGAGTTTGTCGTGGTCGATGAGGACGACTCGCAGGGCCGCATGATCGTCAGCCTCCGGAAGCTGCAGTACGACCTCGCCTGGGAGCGCTGCCGCCAGCTCGTCGCCGATGACGTCACCGTCAGGGGCACTGTGAGTGGTGCTGACGTCAGGCCGACGATGGGAGCGCATGGGATGGGGCGGCGGTCGTTTTGGGTTCACTCGTAGGTCCCCTGGGGTAGGGCGCATGGCCCCTCGTGCGCGACGCCCCGTTCGAGCCATGGCGTCACATCTGGGCGTCCCGCTCACCGGCACATGCCGCCCCCATTCCTGCCGTCTCACCTTCCCCTCTTCCCTCCTCCCTCGCCTCTCCGCCGCCGCCTCTCGCCTTCCTCCCCTCCTCATCGGTGCGCTCGTCTCATCCCCCTTCTCTCACCCCCCTCCTCTCCATCCGTCGTCTCGCCTGCCAGGTCATCGCCGTGAATCGCGGCGGGCTGCTCGTCGAGGTCGAGGGCTGCGAGGGATTCGTGCCGCTCTCGCAAATCGGCCTGGTACGTGCCACGTCAGCATGAGTCGTTCGTTCTGAGCACTATGTTCCTCTCGCGGCTTTCCTCCCCTTCCCCCTCCCACGGCTTCCCCCCGCCCCCTTGTCTCACCCACTCGCCTCTCATCGCCGGCACCTCCCTCTCCTCCCCCCCGCCACCTCAACCCTCCTCACCCCTCCCCACCCCCTCCAACCCACCCTCCTTTGCGACGCAGCGCGCGGCGAAGGAGATCTGGTGGGCGCGCGCATCCGCTCAAGTTCCTCGAGGTCGACGAGGAGCGCACGCGCCTCGTGCTCTCCAACCGCCGCGCCGTCGCCGCCTCGCACGCGCAGTCGCTGCAGGTACGGCGCAGTGAGTAGCGCGGAAAGCGCATCGCGATGTCTCACATAGACGCCATGTTGCCACGTCGACATGCTTCCCCGGCCCCCTCACACCCCGTCCTCTGGGCGGCACGTGGGCGACGAGGTGGTGGGCCATGTGTTGCCATGCCGCCGCACCGACATGCACCCCCCCAATCCCCCCAATCCCCCCAATCCCCCCAATCCCCCCAATCCCCCCAATCCCCCCAATCCCAATCCTCGAGGGCAGGTGGGCGACGTGGTGGTGGGGCGCGTGCAGTCGCTGAAGCCGTACGGCGCGTTCGTGGAGATCGGCGGCCGTGAACGGGCTGCTGCACATCAGCCAGATCTCCCACGACCGCGTCACCAACGTCGAGTCCGTGCTCGCCGAGGGCGACCAGCTCCAAGGTGCGTCCCTGCTGGCGCACGTGAGACAGGTCAAGGTGACGCCAAGGCCACCAGCTCACGCTGGACGCCAGCTCGGAGGTGTGTGATTGTAGCGAGCTGCTGAGGGTGAAAGGTGACTGTAGCATCGCTGCCCTCGCTGCACCAGCGGGCTGCTCGCGCAACGGCCTCTCTTCCAATCCCCATCCCCATCCGTACCAACGCACCCCCACCCCGCCCCCACCCCCGCCCTCGCTCCCACCCTCCCCCACCCCCGCCCCGCCCCCGCCCGGGGCGCATGGCGTGCGCGCAGGTGATGGTGCTGAGCTTCGACAGCGAGCGCGGGCGCGTGAGCCTCTCCACCAAGAAGCTCGAGCCCACGCCCGGCGACATGCTGCGCAACCCCCAGCTCGTCTTCGACAAGGTGACACCCCATGCCCGCGCACGCCCTGGCCTCACCCACCCGCTGCTCCCTGCGGCCCGTCTTTCTAAGCGCCAGCTGGCTGTGCTCTGGTCCTCACTCGCTCCTCCTCCATCCCTCGTCCCTTCCTCACGTGCTTGCTGCTTCCTCCACTCCCCTTCTCTCCGCCACCACACCCCACCCACCACACCCCACCACACCCCACCACACCGTGGCACGGCACGGCTGTGCGTGCGTGGCAGGCGGAGGAGATGGCGGCGACGTTCAAGGAGCGCGTGGCGGCAGCAGAGGCAGCAGCGCGGCAGAGGAGGCGCGCCTGCAGCAGGAGGTGAGTGGGAGGGGTGCAGCAGAGATCGGTGAGCGGGGCGGGGTGTGGCAGCAGGAGGTGAGGCGGGTGCTGTGATGGGGCAGGAGGCAGGGTGGGAGGAGGAGGGTGGGGTAGGCTGTAGCAGGAGAGGTGGGCAGTGGAAACATCAAGGCCATGGTCCTTTGCATGATCCACTGTGCTGCCACGCTTGCACTCCGCATGCTCATGTCCACTGTCTGTTTTCAAGCCTCGCGTTCTCACTCTCACCTTCCCTCGCTCGCCTCGCTTCGTCCTCCCTTCTCACTGGTGCAGGGCTTTGGCTTGGATTGCAACACTGGGAGCACCAGCAGGTCTTGACCCCGCCCTTCCCTCGCCTTCTAAGCACCAGCGCCTCCCCCCTCCTTCCCACACTGCTGCTCACGCGTTCCCTCCATCGCTCACTGGAGTCATCGGATCCCATCCCGTCGAGTCTCTTGGAGCCACCTGCTGTCTTGCTTCCGCTCTCTCCATGTTTCTCATAAGTAGGCGTTTCCAGCTAGGTCTGCATACAGGATAGCCCAATTGGTGTGTTGGTTATTGATGGGAGTGTGAATCACTGGTGTGCATTCAATGTAAAGGCACGTTTCTCTCAAGCTGGTCCCATGTTGCGCACTGTAGGAAAGAAAGCACAGGCGGATGAACACTCAGGCATGCCACAGCAGCATTGCCCAACACCACTAGTCCATGTGACAGCAGCAATGCCAGAGGAGAATGCAATGCAAGTGTTCCTGCCGGCACATTCCCACAATGTGGGAAGCATGACCAACCAATCTCAGAGTATAGTGTGGGACGGCCAGCCATGAGCCATGACCATACTCTTATGTCCCCCCCTGCATGCCCTGCTTGGAGCAGCCAATGCGGCTGACGTTCAGATCACCACCTCCCACACCGACCCACCCTCGCCCTTCACCTCCGGCCCGCCCTCCGCTTTATCCGCCTCCCCTGCCCTGTGTGGCGCTGCTGCCGCCCCTGCACCTGTGTTAGAAGGGGCAACTACGGCCGCCGAGCTTTCTGTCAGCGACAGCTTTCCTGGCGCCGCTGCATCTGCCCCTGCCATTCCCGCTGCTGCTCTGCCTGCTGCACTGCCGTTGCTGCCGGCTCTGCTGCGGGCGGCGATTCTGCTGCGGGTGCGGCTGGTCGTTCAGCCAGTCCGCCTGCGCCACCGCCCGTTGCTGCCGCCGCGGGGTGCTGCTGCCACTGCAGCGGGGGCATCACCGGCATCAGCGGCATCGCCAGCATCGCCAGCAGCGGGGAGCGCAACGGACGGGTCGCGCTTCAGCTTGAGCACTCTTGGCGCCGCGTCTTCGGGCCATGGCAGGGGGGCCGCTACGCCGGGCGCGAACACCACGCCGCGCAGAATGGTGTTGGTGTTGCCCACGCGGATGGTAACAAAGTAACCCGCGTCGAACGTGCCGTCCAGCACGCCCTGCACGTTCTGCCCCACCCACCCCGGCTGCACGGCCGCGCCGTCGTCCCCCGGCGCCCTGGTTCAGCCGCCGCGCCTTGAGCTGCGACTTGGTCATTCTCGCCCGCGTGGGCCGTGGCCGTGGGCACGAGCGCGGAGGCGTTCTGCGCGGCGAGGATGGCGTCGATGTTGGAGGGGTCCGTGACGGGCATGCCGCTGTGCGCCGCCATGATCAGCGCCTGCCGCGCCAGCACGTCCGACTTGCTCGGCCTCCCGCGCTTCCGCTTGAAAGCCGCCGCAATCGCCCTGTCCGCAGCCATCTGCGCCTTCGTCCTCCGCTTCCGCCGCTGCCGCGGTAGCTCGTCGCCGTGCGCGGCATTCATGCCCGCCATCGACGGCGCCATCCTAGAGTACATTGCGCTGAACCTGGCCTAACGTATCGTCTAGTTAGTCAAATATCTGATTGGTTAGGACTTGTGCTGGCGCTAGCGAACTGATTGTGGAGTGCCAAATAGCAAGGTGTAATTTCAAGCAGCAATTTTCAAATATTCAAATTTAGGCGACGCAAAACAGTCCTTCTTACTCAAGGTCGCACTCTGTCGCGTACGCAAAAATGTTTTTTCAGGTCTTGGGGAGGGGCCGTTTCCAAAGTGCCAAAATCCGTGCCGAACAATTCACATTGCATAGTTTGAACGGGGCAGTGCAGTCAACCGCCGAGGTCTCCTGGTGGAGCAGATTGTGATCCGAACAGCTTGTCCAACCTCCAGCCGACTCTTCTATTCGGGTACGCCCTCAACACATCACGGAACCCGTTTTTGAATCAGTCGTTCATTGCGACATGACGTTTGAGTGTTGTTTTCAAACTAGAAGCAGAGGCATCATGGTAGAAGGATGATATTTAATAGGATTAGTGTTACTTTCCCATTGTAAAACAGTTAGAACACGCAATATATTCACATATACCTGACAGTGGAGGGGCTGCAACAATTACGGACGTGATAACGTAGCATTCAAGCGTTCAAGCGCACACGTCTTGTGAATACAGGCTGGGGATATAATTCTCTTGGAATGATGGCGGATCTGAAATCACATGATGTCATGTCATTGCCAACCGGGTTTGCCTTGCAAGAGGTTGGTGAGTCTGGACAAGGAGTGGGATTCAAGCTGGGAGGATGGGCCGCACTGGTGTCCCATTTTCTGATTCTGGAGCTGCACACATATACCAAAGATAGTCAGAACAGCGAAGATTGGATTAATCCAGCATGAACCGTTGTCACCAAGCTGCACCTGAAGGAACTTTTGGCTCCATGGATGCTGGCTGCCATGGCATGATGTCGTCCCAGTCATCCACAGGTAGTAGTTGCAGCGGCAAAGTCGACAGCAGCAGTGAGTCACGGTCTGATCTTGCACTGGAGTCGGCCAACACATTTGAGCGGGAGCACGTTTGGGACAGAGCCTGGCCCTGGCCACAGAACGCATGCTTAATGAGCGAAGGAAAAAAACCGACCGAGCAGTAAAGAAAGAATGGAAAGCAGACACCCACCAGTTGAATTGCCGATGCCTCGAGAGTGGTCACACTATCCTGCAGTTTCTGATAACGGCTACTTTGCGGAATGGTCTTCCAGTGAGCTTTGATAAGTTCGCACAATGCCTTCTTCACCTGAAACATTGGAGCATACCTTTCAGAACACGGGCTGTTGCCCTTGAAGAAGAACTGTCATAGAAATCACATTCTGCGCACCTGCTCGGCCACAGTGTCGAGATGCGCAAGGCTTCTCGCAACATCTTCCTCGTTTTGGTTTTGTTCGTACTCAAAGAGGTCTTCAACTAAAAGGCTCTGCGTCACATGATGAGCACCGTGTTAGAACATGATTAACGCCAAGAAAATGCATCTCCAGTCGTGAAGCCCACCAACCTGAATTCGGGAGGCACGGTTAAGAAGGTCAAACGACTTCTCTGAAGGTATTCCAATTAGACTCTCGCATATGTCGGTCGCAAGCTCGCAGCACTCGATGACATCACGAAACAAGCGTCGGGGGCCTGATAAACACTTGGTTGCGAGTATGGACGTTCTTATAAGCCAGTAATCTTTATCAGAGCGAGGACTGCAAGGTAAGTCATCAGGCCAAAATGTGTTTGGAAAGTGTGAAGTGAAATGTTCCGCCATGGAACTTGAAGCGATCAGTAGATCAGCTCGGCTGAGAAAACGCTGGGTAGACAATGCGCGTTCGTTGAAAATGTCGAGCAAGCAAGAGGTTTACAGTTCCATCGCCAGCCTTCCTCGGGCACAATGATCAGAATGCTCAGAAATAAGCATCTGAGAGTTCCGAACGCAGAATGCAGCATCTCAGAGGGGAGGGGCATGAGGAGGACAGCAGTCAATGCGGTTCGGTTGAATGACCAACCCAACGGACCCTTCTCCTCCACAAGAACAATCAATCGCGGATTGGTGGTCCGGTTGTTCCACCGCACACAACCACCCACCCACACCAAACAGACCAACCTACCTGCGACTCCATTACACACCAAGCTTCAGAAGAAACCCCCCAGCTCAGGAACCAATCAGAAGCGCAAGATGTAACAAGATGTGGAGGTGGACCTTTTTGACAACGAATCAGTTTCTCCCACCTTGCAGATGCCGAAAGGCAATGCGAAACGAAACCTGCCAGCACAGCTGGGAATCGCACTTTCGCTTGTCTTTCACTCAGCTCGGCACCAGCGCCAGCCATTCTGCTGGGCGCCTTGGGCACGTGTGGTCCTTGCAAGCACTGTGCAAGTTATATCCATAACACAAAACAACTGTACCATTGCTTAGTCTTTAAACTGTATTATCCTTCTATGTTAAGTTGGTCTCTCGTTCCATGTGGGATAGCTGTACGAAATTGGTTTATTAATGTTGTAACTGGAACAGCATCTCATCACTGGTTGTTGGAATACAAGGAGCTGATGGTCTCTAATGATAAAGGGCATACGTATGCCTCCATAACTCCTCCTTTGTGCACTCGCCCCCACAACAAGTGAAGGCTTTTCAGCTTTGGGCAGCTACAGCGGAGTTGACCGAGCAACTCCTGGGAGGGGAGGAAATCCATCTCCAAGCGCAAACGCTGCAAACCCCTTAGGGGCAGCTCCCACCCACCTGGGGCTGGCATGAGTGTGGGGCCAAGAGCCAGCGCCTGTAAATGCTGGAGCGCCTGACAGCGGGCAACACACAGGAAGCACCCGAGTGATTGATGAGGTGCCCAGTGTGCCCAGTGTGGCACAAGCAGTGCTCAATGCTGCCTGCTGCCGCTGGCCAGGTAGTCGTGGAGGCAAGTCCAAGGCCCGCCAGAAAATATGTGGTATGAATAGGGCTTAGTCGTACCTGGAGTGGCAGGGCGTGGGTGAGGTGCAGGGGTTTGCTCTGCAGCTCTTGCAGGTCCAGTGCCTGGTGGGAGGGGGATGGGGGAAGGGAGAGCAGGGCGGGCACAGTAGTAGTTGTGTGTCCTTGACGCCAGTGGAACAATGAGTGCTGGCAGCTAGATACGGAGAGCGAGAGAGGCAGCAGCAGCAGCACCCACCATGAGTCGGGGGAAAGCAGTGGCGAGCAGGGTGAAGGAGGAGGGTGTGAGGGCGCAGGGGCTGAGGGACAGTGCTGCGAGGGGAGCAGGCCCCGCCGACACCAGCGCTGCCATGGCCTGCTGGCGGGATGTGGGTGGATGTATGGAAGTGAATTAGCTTCTTGTGTTGACCATGAGGGTTACGCGAGGTGGCAATCGAAGTTACAACGAAAACGCAATGGACAATAAACATCACTTCTGAGTATGACTAGGGCACAAGCGCCATACACACAAGGGCGGGGGCCTGCTTGCGAAAGGGTTACGCAGAGAGAGCATGGCCCTAAAGTGGAAGGGGTGGGCGGACCTGGTGCGTGAAGCAGGAGTGCGTGCTCCACATGGCATCGGGCTTCACTGACTGGCCGAAGAAACTGACAGCGGGAATGGGCGAAAGGAGAGGGAGACATGGCAGGGGAAGATGACCCGCAAGACACGAACAGGAGGGACCATAGGCGCAAGGCATGGTTGCAGTTACGGTGAACGGATGTGAACGAGGCACATAGTGGTGCATGCCATGTGGCAGAGTGGCGAGCTGTGAGTGTGTTCTGAGTGACTCACGGCATGTGCAGGTCGACCACGAGCATCTCCAGGCGTGGCAGCGCGCCCACGCACGCCATCACGCCCGCCAGGTCGCACGAGAACACCACATGCTGGGCGGGAGGAGCGACGGCAGGGGGGTGGGTGGGGAGGTGGAGAGCAGAGTGGCGTGGTGAAGGAACCAGTTCCGTGTTCGCACAGCATGCCTCCATGCAAGGCCTTCAAATCCACGGCCCTGGCATGCCCGCTCATCGCATGCTCCACCTCCTCCTTCCCCCTCTCGTAACCTTTCAGCGTCTCACCTGCAGCGTGAGGGTGAGCGCCTTGATCCGCGGACACAGCGCGCCAATGCCCGCCAGGCCACGGGCGGACAGGGGCAGGCAGCCACACGGGTAGGGGGGCGGGGGAGGGGAAGTGAGGGGGGAATGGGGGGATGGGGGAGGCACTTGCGGGCTAGGGAGAGGACGCGGCGAGGAGAGCGGGGGAGAGGAGGAGTCGCGTGGTGTGTGAGGCGGGGAGGCGGAGCAGGTGGGGGGGGCGGCATGGGAGGGTTGAGGGCTGCATGGGGGGGACGAAGTGGTCAGGGGAAGCTGGTGGGGGGAAGATGACGGGGAGGGGGAGGTGGAGGCGGGGAGGTGGTAGGGGGAGGTGGGGGAGAGGAGGCTGTGGAAAGGGGGAGGGGAGCCGTTGAAGGTGGCGCCCATGCACACGTGCTGCACGCGCAGGGACTGCATGCGCGGACAGGCGCGCAGGACCCGCCTGTGGGGGTAGGTGGGGGAAGGGGAGGAAAGGAGAGCGATAGGAGGATGTGAAGAAGAGGAAGGATGGGAAGGGAGGAGGAGAAGAGAGAGGGAGGCTGGTGGGTGAAGTAGGAGTGGTGCGCGGAGAGAGGACGGAGAGGAGCAGCGGATTGGGCTTCGGGAACGAGACGAGAATCGATGGTCGTGCCGACCATGCAATGCAATGCCATGCCTGCCACGTGGCGCGTCACTCACTGCAATGTGCGGTCCGTAATTCGTGGAGAGCGCAGGTCCAGGTCACCCAGGAACCTGAAAAGGGCAGCGACGAAATAGGGTGGGAGCGGTGCGTTAGGCAGGGCCCGAGGAGGCATCAACGACAACCCACGGAGGCACTGACCCGAGCGGTCTTTCACTCATCACGCCTCACGCCTCCGCCCCCCTCGCATCGCACCTGCCGTGTTTCACGGCGTCAGCGACCTCCTCCTCGAGCGTCGTCACCTCGCCTTCCCTCATCGCCACAGGCGACGGCGTGCGCGGCGACGACCACGACCCCCTTTCCCCCGTTCCGCCGTACGCGCTGCCCGCCGCTCGCTCATCCTCGGAGTTCCAGCCGCGTCCCTCCGCGCCTTCCGCCTGCCTGCAGGCGACCGCAGCTTCTGGTGTCGCCGGCGCAGCGCCGCCGAACGACACGCCGCTGGCGAGGCTGGAGGAGGAGACTTCCACCGCATTAGCGGCGCCGGAGGATGCTGTCACGGGGTTGCTGAAGGCGGTGTGCGCCGGGCGGCGGGGACTTTGCGGCGTGCGGAAGTGGAGGAACGGGGAGAACGCGGCGGGGTTGAGCCAGAGCTCCGGAGGGGGCGGTTTGGGGGCATGGGCGCGCGGGAGACAGCGCGGGTGAGCGCGAGCGCGCGGCTGTGCGCGGAGGGCGCGGTAGGGCGGTCGTCGTCGATCGCGCAGGCGCGCAGCTGCGAGGGGGACAGCGCGGAGATGCGCCATGCCCTGCGGAGAGGACATCAACGCGGGGGCACCGGTGAGTGGGGAGACGAGCAGGGCAGGCAGACAGATAGTGTTACCAGAAAGCATTCAATACGGTAAGGTTTTTTCTGTCCGAGCGTACCGATTAACCCTCGCGGCGGTGGCGAGGTCGTCGAGCGACAGCAGCATCCCCAAGACGGTCGACAGCAGCTCAGCAGGCAGACCCGACCCGTCGCCGCTCTCTCGACCTACATCGCCTTGCATCTCGCTCTCGGCTCGAACAGCGTGAACGGATGGAGTACTGTTCAGCGCGAGAGAACCGAAGGATTGCGAGAGATCCTTCGTGGGTGTCGACGACTCCGCGACCATGGCGGCTCGTGACTGTGTGGAAAAAGCAGTTAAGCCGATGTTTTGAGTGTCTTTGGTGCTCTACTACGTGGCGACGCGAGCTGCAAGTCTGTGTGGAATGCGAGAGCGAGGTCCTAAGAATAAGCTAGTTGAGGGGAAACACAAGTGAAGACGCAACGGAGGGATGAATGATGGCGAGTTGGGTGGAACGACTACGAGCTCGGATGAGCAACACAGCAAGTTCAACTTTCAACACCCACCCGTCAGTAGTTCGCAACCGAACCGAAATGATTCGCAATCGTACAGGACCGTAATTTATTCCTCCCGAAAGTGAAAAGTGGAGAGGCGACGCATCCGTGATAGATAGCCGAACCGCGCTGCCCGTTTCAAATAGGCTGATGCCTGACACCATCTTTTCGCGCGCGCTTCTTGTATGAGCTGGGGTCTGTTATCGAGGATGAGTTGCACATTCAAAAGAATGGCGCGATATGCGACAGGATGTTAGCTGTGACAACAACCACGCATTCTCATCGTAAGACATGGTAACCCTTCTCGTCGTTTTCGTAGCACTGGCAGGTGCTCCGCCACAGGGCAAACCCTCAGGCCCATGTCCAGGTGTATGATGCACCGTACAGCACCACGGCTCGCTCCGCCTTTTGACCAGCCCTGAGCCTATATTTTCCAGGTCCAGCATACGTCCCCCCAGCCATGATAGCCTAGCAACCACCGTCGAGCCTCGCCGTCACTGCAATGGGTTGTGCGAGGGCGGCTAGCTCGCGGATATTCGCAGTTGTCCTTCCGTGTCTTGCGGCGGTCGTCGTCGCTCTCCTGCCGCCAGTTGTCCAGCCGTTTCCGCTCGCCGATTCCCAAGGTGGGCTATGCTCGCAACGCCATCTCCATTTATCGGCTGTTCTCTTCCTTCATAAGTAGCCCTACCCTTTACAGTCACGTCTTATCTACTACCGCACAAGCAGGCTGTGGCTTCTAAACGTTTCGCCCATTGAGCTGTTCGATAGTCGGTTCCAAGGCAGCAGCGCCTCCGTATGGAGCCTTCCTGCATTTAGTTCGCCTGGCATTGTCGGCAAATGGTAACCTGGCATTGTCGCGTGAATCTCGACCACCTGTCTCTCTGTCATCCTCTCCCCATAGCGCACTGTTAAGCGTCTCTCATAACTCGTTCCCTCGCCACTCGCCCCTCTCCTCCTCTCGAATCCCGCATTCCTGCTGCCCCCCTCACCTTTTTGCCCTCGATTCCCCTGCACTCGGCGCGCAGCGGCGGCGCTGCTGGAGTGCGAGGCGGAGTGGGGGATGAGCGCGATGGGGTGGGCGCAAGGCGCGGAGTGCGCGCAGGCGCAGGCGATCACATGCGACCAGGACGGCATGGTGACGTCGCTGTGAGTGCGACGGACGTGCAGCAAAGCAGGGTGAAGGCAGGGCGCGAGATGCAGGCAGGGCGTGGGACGAAGGCAGGGCGTGGGACGAAGGCAGGGCGTGGGAGAGAGCGGGGTTGCGATAGAGGGGAGCAGGGCTTGAGCGAGGCGTAGCTGTGAGTGTGAGGGCGTTGCGTGTAAGCCTGACGCAAGAACGCCAGTGAGTGGCGCATCGTGCTATTGCCCCCGCCCCGCGGGCACGCCTTGTTGTCAATGCAGGCCGTTTTTGAGGCGCCTAAAAAATCGTCTCATTTCACGACCATGAGTGACGGCACGCCTTGTTGTCAATGCAGGCCGCTGCCATCTCCTCCCGTGCCTCCCCACTGCAACCACATGCTTCATAACAGCAGTACCCCCGCCGCCACAACCGCAACAATCGCTCGCTGCTTGCCCAACCTCACCAACCATTCCACCACCACTCCGTGCCTCCATCCCCTCCTTGCCTCCATCCGCGCCCCCTGACCCCCCGCGTGGTGCGCAGGGACGTGCACTCATCAGGCCTCAACGGCTCCCTCCCCCTCGCCCTCACCCGCCTCTCGCGCCTCCACACGCTGTCAGTCGCCCTGCCCCCACCCCCCCTTTCTCTCACGCCCCAATGCCAAAGTCACTCGTTCCTTTGCTTCGCTGTTATTCACCACCCAACCATCATCACCCATCCTCTCCCCCCCACCTCTTCCCCCCCCTCCTTCCTGTGGGCAGCGATCTGGGCTTCAACGATCTGTGGGGCCCTGTGCCGCCCACCCTCTCCACCCTCGTCCGCCTGCGCACGCTGTGAGGCACCCTCCACGTTGTGAGGCGCCCTGCACACTGTGAGGCGCCTATGACCGTGTGTGTGTGAGGGGGGTTGGTGCCTGAGTTGGGATGCTGTGGCCCACGGTTGGAGTGGGAGGAGCTGTGCGCCCCATGCAGTGTGCTTTTTGGGGCTACATGGCCCTGCTTCACCCATCATGTGTGTGGCCCTGCTTGTGCATGTGTGTGTGTGTGTGTGTGTGTGTGTGTTGTGTGTGTGTGTGTGTGTGTGTGTGTGTGTGTGCATGTGTGCATGTGTGCCTGCATGTATGTGTGCGTGTGCTGCATGCAGAGTTCTAGACAGCAACTACTTCACGGGCCGTATTCTCAGCATCGTCTCCAACATGACATTGCTTGTTGACCTGTAACCTTCAACCCTGTTTACCTTCTAGCCACGGCATAACGTCTCACATGCTGGCGAGGGCTCACATTGTGGTGCCTCTGACTGCTCTTTCGTCCCCTCTTCCCACCATTCCCCCTCCTCCTTCCTCTCTCCACCTTCCTCGCCCCGGCCACTCGCCACTTTCTCCGCACCTCATGCTGTCCGTGCCCTGCCCTGCCGTGCCCTGCCCTGCCCTGCCGTGCCCTGCCTTGCCCTGCCTTGCCCTGCCTTGCCCTGCCGTTTTTGCCCCGCGTGCTCGCACTCCCTCCTCCCCCCAGCACCGTCGCCAAGAACCGCTTCACGGGCTCCATTCCGCCAGCCATCTCACGCCTGCGCCGCCTCACGAACCTGTCAGTCGCCCATCTCTCAGTCACCCATCACTGCCATTTTGGCCCATTGAGTTCTCTATCCAACCGACCCTCCTGTTGGCTCCCCTTCTTTGTCACTCTCCTCCCTCCCAACTCGCCTCTTCCGCTGGCGGTCTACCATGCCCACAAGACCCCCCTCCTTCGGTCCCTCTGCCGCCCCATCCCCCCTACCTGGCGACAGCGAAATTGACTCGAATAACTTTCAGGGGCCTCTGCCTCAAGAGCTGGGACATCTCACTGCCCTCTCCCACCTGTACGCCCCTCCCACCTGTACGCCCCTCCCACCTGTACGCCCCTCCCACCTGTACGCCCCTCCCACCTGTACGCCCCTCGCACCTGTACGCCCCTCCCACCTGTACGCCCCTCCCACCTGTACGCCCCTCCCACCTGTACGCCCCTCCCACCTGTACGCCCCTCCCACCTGTACGCCCCTCCCACCTGTACGCCCCTCCCACCTGTACGCCCCTCGCACCTGCCATCCCATGCCATCACACCCCCATGCCATCACACCCCCATGCCATCACACCCCCATGCCATCTCACGCCATCATACCACCCCCCCCCTCCCCCCCCCCCCCCCGTGCGTCAGGAGTATGTCGTCCACGGCCCTCTCGGGATCGCTGCCCGGCTCCATCAGCCAACTCGCCGCCCTGCAATACCTGTCAGTGGCAACGCACTCATCGCTTGCAGCCTGCAACACTTGTGTCACATGGCTCTCCTCTAGTGTGTGATGTTTGTACCACTTAAACATGCTCCCTCAACTATTATTTATTTATTTATTTTTAACATGCTCCCTCAACTATTATTGATTTATTTATTTTTAACATGCTCCCTCAACTACAACGACGGCCAGAGCCAGCATCCGTGAATCCTCGTCGAACTTCCGACTCCACATACTCCCCTCACACCTTGTCACACACACTCCTTCACCCTGGCTCGCTTCCCCCTCTTTCTTCCTAGTACTAGCTACCCTGGATCCTTCACCTTCTGCCCTTGGCGTCTTTTGTAGGTTACTACCTCTTGCTGCACCCTCTCAAGGAAATGATCCCGAGGTCCACTCGCTATCCCCTCGTCTCCCTGGCTCTCCTTTATCTATCCTCTCATCGTGGATCTAACATTTGCCCGGGAATGCTTCCACTAGCAACAAGGCATACAAGTCTTCCCACGGTGTCCGAGAGAACAAACAAAGTGATGAAGCAATCGCTCAGCCTGAGTTTTGTTCTCCCTCACTAGAGGAGACATCCTGGGCCAAACCCATCCCTCCCAACTGCTCAAGCCGCGGGCCGTTTCGGAGTTTTCTCCTCCGTGATGGCTCCCAGTAATTGCGCCGTCTCTGCTCCAATCCCCTCTCTGCATGCCTGCTCACCGCGTCGCTCTCAGCCCTGCTGACCTGGATGACGTCAGCTCACCCACCATCCCAACTGTCGGCCTCCGCGCCAACCTCCCATTCCCGAATCCTGTACTGTACATCCAATCCCAAAACCGCATAATACTGTATACTAGCAAAGCTACACTCTCCTCTTACCCACAAACTTCAGTGCTGTCCCATGCATTCTTGGTACCTTTATGTTGCCAAGAGTCATGCGACAGCTGACACCTCACACCTTCTCACACACCCCCCTCACACCTTCCCACTCCACATACTCCCCTCACACCTTCCCACTCCACATACTCCCCTCACACCTTCCCACTCCACATACTCCCCTCACACCTTCCCACTCCACATACTCCCCTCACACCTTTTCGTTGTCGCTCACTCCCCATGTCATCACCATGCCATGTCATGCCCGGGCTTTCCCCCTCCCATGGCATGCGTCTGTCCCATGGCATGCGTCTGTCCCATGGCATGCGCTTGTCCCACGGCATGCATGTGAGCAGCTACGCGCCGATGAATGGGTTCACAGGAAGCATCCCCACCGCCTTTGCCGCCCTCTCCCGCCTCAAGATGCTGTGAACCTCAATGCCCTCAATGCCCTCGATGCCCTCGATGCCCTCAATGCCCTCAATGCCCCTGCTGCGCCCTCTAGGCCTCTCAATGCCCCTGTAGCACCTGTCACGATTCCCACGCGTTCCTGTGACTTGCGAGCCCCAACCCAACCCCAACAATCCCATTCCTCCCTAACCCTCCCATTTCTCCCCAACCCTCCCATCTCTCCTCCCCCCTCCCATTTCTCCCAACCTGGCATCCCTCTGTGCCTCTGCGTGGCAGGGCTCTAGACTTCAACCCCCTCATGGGCTCCCTGCCTGGCGCCCTCTCCCGCCTCACCACCCTCACACAGCTGTCTGCCTCTACTCCACACACCCTCCACTCCGCACTCCCTCCACTCCGCACTCCCTCCACGCCGCACTCCCTCCACTCCGCACTCCCTCCACTCCGCACTCCCCTCCCTGCCCTCATCACCCCCCGTTGTCTCCTCTCATCCCGTGGCGACTTGGCACCCCTTTGCCTTGCACCCCTGCTGCACCACCTACTTTCCTCAATCTCATTATTCATAACCGTTTTCTCGCCTGCAACGACTTCCTTTCAGCCGTCCCCCGCGACACGCTGCCCTTGGTGCTCCAATGGCTTCTCCCTCCCCCCCTCCCCTCCATCCCCCATCTAAACTCCCCTCCACGCCTCATCTCCCCCTTCCCTTCCCATTCCTCCCCCCTTCACCCTTCCACCTCCCCCCAGCACTCTCAGCGGCACCAGCATCACTGGTGTGGTGCCTCGCTCCTTCTCCGCCCTCACTCGCCTCAACGTCCTGTGCGCCCCTCGCCCCCCCTGCCATGCCGTGTGCAGCCATGCCATGTGCTGCCATGCCATGTGCTGCCATGCCGTGTGCAGCCATGCCATGTGCTGCCGTCTCTCTGCTGCCTCCCCTGCCATTTCATGCTGCGATACTGGTCATTTCTCCCATCCATCCACCCATCCACCTATCTACCCATTCACCGACCCACCTATCCACCGATCCATCCATCCATCCATCCATCCATCCATCCATCCATCCATCCATCCATCCATCCATCCATCCATCCATCCATCCATCCATCCATCCATCCATCCATCCATCCATCCATCCATGCATCCATGCATCCATGCATCCATGCATCCATGCATCCATGCATCCATGCATCCATGCATCCATGCATCCATGCATCCATGCATCCATGCATCCATGCATCCATGCATCCATGCATCCATGCATCCATGCATCCATGCATCCATGCATCCATGCATCCATGCATCCATGCATCCATGCATCCATGCATCCATGCATCCATGCATCCATGCATCCATGCATCCATGCATCCATGCATCCATGCATCCATGCATCCATGCATCCATGCATCCATGCATCCATGCATCCATCCATCCATGCATCCATGCATCCATGCATCCATGCATCCATGCATCCATGCATCCATGCATCCATGCATCCATGCATCCATGCATCCATGCATCCATGCATCCATCACCATGCATCCATGCATCCATGCATCCATGCATCCATGCATCCATGCATCCATGCATCCATGCATCCATGCATCCCATCCATGCATCCATGCATCCATGCATCCATGCATCCATCCCCATCCATGCATCCATGCATCCATGCATCCCATCGCATCCATGCCATCCATCATCCATCATCCATCCCATCCCATCCCATCATCCATCCATCCATTCCATCCATCCATCATCCATCCCATCCATCCATCCATCCATCCATCCATCCATCCATCCCATTCCATCCACATCCATCCATCCCATCCATCCATCCATCCATCCCATCCATCCATCCATCCATCCACAGTTCATCCCATTCTGCATCAGCACATCTCTAACTCATGCCCCCTTTAACCCAATCGACCCGGGCTGAGAGTACTGCGTCGCCCCTTTCACTTTCCTGCTCCCGCCTTTTCCCTTTCCACTCTCATCCCCATTCAGTGACCTTTCCAACACGAAACTTCACGGAGCCATCCCAGCCACTCTTGGAGGCCTCACTAATCTTCAAATCTTGTGTGAATTTCTCTCTCTTGTGCATCCCGTTATGCTTTTCTCTCTCTTGTCTATCCCAGTGCGATGTTTGTTCCCCCCGTTTCTAGTTTGTTCCCATTTACCCTCTATATTTATGAATATGTATACATATATACCTTCTCAAAACATCCTTCGGACTAGTCTAGAAAGGATACACAAAGTAGGGCATGAAAGGACACATGATACATCTTCTTCTTGCTGTATATATATTCTGTTTATGTCTCTTTCCGGTCGACCCCATGCGCCCACCTGCTCTCATGCAGAATGTTTTCCGGGGCGACTTGTCCACTTGAGGGCACCTGTGAAGTCAATCAGAACCGTTCATCCGCGTTCTGCAGGATCTGTTCAAGCTTCTGCTCCACGTGCATCCCAATCAATGGTGCCCTCCCATGCACCTGCCACTCCCATGCACCTGCCACTCCCATGCACCTGCCACGTTCTTGCACACGTGTAACTCTCACGTTCTTGCATGCTTAAAGCCAAGTACAATTTTAACGGCTAACATATTCCCCCCTCTTTTTGACCCTTCTTCCCATCACATACTCCCGTTCCATCCCCCAGCTCCAGTCCGCAGCCCACCTCCCCCATCCCCTCCCCCCCCTCCGCCATCACCCTCCCCTCCCCCACCTCCCCCCATCATCCCCCTCCTCCTCGTCCCCCCTTCCCCCCTCCCCCTCCGCCCTCCTCCCTTCCCCCCTCCGCCATTGCCGGTGCAGCAGTGGGGGCACTGCTGCTGCTGCTGCTGGCGGTGGCGGTCGTGGGGGGGTGGGGGGTGTGGAGGTGGAGGAAGGGGAGCAGGGAGGGGGAGAGGATGCGGATGCGCCCATGCTCAAGCCCGCTCCCCCCTGCCCTCACATTCCCCTGTCTGACGTTATCCGGGCCACCAATGGGTGGGCAGAGGGGCGGAGGGTGGGGGGAGGCAGGTGGAGTAACGTGTTCAGGGGGGAGTGGGCGGAGGGGGGAAAGGGGGGGAAGAGGCAGAGGAGGGAAGGGGGGGGAAGAGGGAGGAAAGGAAGAGTGAGGGTGGGACGAACGGGAAGGGTGATGGGGAAGAAGGAAGTGCAAGTGAGAGGAGGAGAGAGGAGAGGGTAGAGGAGGAGAGGGAGGGGTTGGAAAAAGAGGGTGCAGGGAGGAGGAAGGTGTGGGGCGGGAGGTGCTTATGGGCGGTGAAGCGCATGCGGCGGGTGGCACGCAGCGCAGCATTTGAGGCTCACGTGCTCGGCTTGGCGCGCCTGGCACACCCCAACGTGCTCCGCCTGCTGGGGTGGTGCCACCAGGGAGGGGGGGGGATCGAGTCAGGTGGGGAGGGGGGTGGGAGGGAGGGGGGGGAGGAGGAGGGGCGGGAGGAGCAGGTGTTGGTGTACGAGTGGATGGAGAATGGCAGCCTTGAGCAGATGCTGCTCTCAGGTGCGCTCAGGGTGGTGTAATAACAGCCGTGCAAACCCCTCCCCGTTGCCTCCTGTCACCCTGACCCCACCTTCCGATGACCCCTCTGCCTCCCCATTCCTCTTGCCCCCCGCATTCCTCTCAGCCCCATGGCCTCCCCTGTGTGGCAACGGCGGTGCGTGTGGCCCTGCGCCTCACCCCCCAGCCCCCTGCCATCACCCTCCTCGCCAGGCGCCAGCCCCCTCTCTCTGCGGCAGCGCGTGGACATCCTGGTGGGCGTGCTGAGGGCGCTCAAGGCGGTGCAGAGCCACGGACTGGTGCACGGCGACCTCAAGCCCAGCAACGTGCTGCTGGGGGCCGCCTACGAGGTGGGAGTCATGGGCGCTGCTCGGTGCAGCATGCGACGCGTGGTGCTCTGCCATGCTGCCACCCCAGCATCGCTTCCAGCTGGCTGTCAGACCATCTCTTGCTCTCCCCTCACAGCGCCCCCTCCCCTACCCATCCCCCCTGCCCCCTCCCCCTCTCCCCCAGCCCCGAGTGGGCGACTGGAGCGTGGTGCGCATGGGACAGCGGGTGCATGTGGACATGGGGGGGAGAGGGGGGCAGGGCGTGGGCGAAGGGGAGAAGGAAGTGCTGTTGGAGGGCGGGAGTGAGGGTCAAAACGACGATCGGAGTGAGGGGCGGAGTGATGGGGAAGGGCGGAGCGGGGACGGCCGCAGTGGCTTCAGTGGCAGCAGCAGTGGCAAGTCAGGCAACAGCAGCAGCAGTGGCGGCAGTGCGGGCAGGGTGGGGCAGGCGAGTGTGCTGCGGTGCACGGAGGGGCATGTGGATCCCATGGTGCTGCAGAGCGGCGTTGCCACCGCCACCGCTGACATGTACAGGTGGGGTTCAGGACTCAGGCCAACCATTTCATTCCTTTCGACCTGCCTTCTCCCACGATGTTTGTTGATGGGGTGGGTTGCTGCTTTCGACCTCCCGAATCAATTGCTCCTCTCCCCTCCTCTCTTGCATCCCTTTTCTCCCCCCCCCTGCCCTCCCCAGTGTGGGCGTGGTGCTGTTGCAGCTTCTTACAGGGTGGGCTGCTCCGTTCAAGTCACTGGATGGGCAGCACATGCACATATGCCACTGGGTGCGCTGTGCTGTTGCGTGCATGACATGGCATGGCATGGGATGGGATGGGATGGGTTAGACTGGGGGCATAATGGACAGCGCATGCACCGCTGTCTGGAGCCCATACCTCATCCTCCACATCACATGCCCACCACGCACTCTCTTCCTCACCCCCCCCCTTCCCTCACCCTCCCCTTCCATCACCCCCCCCTTCCCTCACCCCCCCCCTTCCCTCATGCCCTCAACCCATCCCTCCACCTGCCCACCTCCCCCCCCACCCCAGGCCCAGCAGCATGTGACAGCAGGCGACGTCTCTCCTCTCCTCGACCCCCTCCTGCTGCACCCTGCACCCCCTCCCTCCCTCCTCCTCTCCCTCTTCCACCTCGCTCTCTCCTGCGCCTCCCCCTTCCCCTCCTCCCGCCCCACGCCCTCCTCTGCCCTGCTCGCCCTCAAGCCCCTCCGCGCCTCCCTGCTGCAGCTGCAGCCGGGGGAAGGCCGGACAGGAGAGGGGGAGGGGGGGGAGAGAGGAGAGGGTGGGGAAGATGGTGGGGGGGGGCGGAGAAGCGGGAGTTGGAGCAGACTGTTTGGGAGCGGAGCAGGTGGGGGGCCCAGTGGCAATGCACTGGGTGCAAGGCTGGCGATGCTGGGAGCAGAGGACAGCAGGGAGTTCGTGGCATAGACTGGGGGAGGCTTTATTGTCCATGTGCTTGCATTGGGGAAAGAGGAGGAAGGGCACTGCTCCATTGTTGCTTGTGTGTGCTATCAGACACAGCAACATAAGTTGGCTGTCCATGCTGTCAACTTATACATACTAGCTATGTAGAAGTTATAGGCTAGACTGGAGTATGCTTCTAGTGAGTACAACCAATTAGTATTTGTTCTAGGTTTCTCCTTCAAGTGCACCATTCAGTTCTTACATTAACATGGTATCACGCGTAGGTTAGAATCCCCCACCTACCGCTTTCGCCCGTACCCTAGCTAGGCCCCGTCGCGCCTCCTAGCCCCGTCGCGCCTCCTAGCCCCGTCACGCCCCTCCTGGGCCCCGTCGCGCCCCTCCTGGGCCCCGCCGCACCTCCTAGCGCCCCTCCTGGGCCCCGTCGCGCCTCCTAGCCCTGTCGCACCCCTCCTTGGCCCCGTCGTGCCTCCTAGGCCCCGTCGCGCCCTGCCTGGCCCCGTCGCGCCCGCTAGGCCCCGTCGCGCCCTGCCTGGCCCCGTTGCGCCCGCCTGGCCCCGTCGCGGCCTGCCTGGCCCTGCCGCGCCTGCCTGGCCCCGCCGCGCCTGCTTGGCCCCGCCGCGCCTGCCTGGCCCTGCCACGCCTGCCTGGCCCCGCCGCGCCTGCCTAACCCCGCCGCGCCTGCCTGGCCCCTCCGCGCCTGCCTGGCCTCTCCCACTGCCCGCCCGGCCCCTCTTCGTGCCTGCTCGTCCTGCCGTGCCACCTCGGGCTCCGTCTACTCTGCTCGCCACTGCTGGGGCGCCTCGCGGTCACCGTGCTGGAGCGTGCTGCGACCGTGAGACCTTCTCTACTGCTCCGCTTGCCTGTGTGGTCTGGGACTCCCGCGATGCAATCGCTCAGGTTGCTATTAGCCACGCCCTCCCTGTGTCTGAGCGCTCGCGTTTTGCTACTGTTGAGACGGCAAAAGCTTACTTAGACGCCGTTATTGCTCGCTATTCCACACCCGCGTCTGCTTCTGCTAGCCGCTTGCTCTTAACGATGCTGTTCCCAGACCTTGCAGCCTTCCCCACTGTCCCAGACTTTGCCACTCACCTGCGTGCCCTAGAGACCCGCTATCGCACTGCCAGCACTGCTGCCCAGCTCACTGCGCTCCCCCCCCCTTTCTGCATGACGCTCTATTTTATCGCCATGCGCCTGCCAGACCACCTCGCTAGTGCTCGCAATCACTTCCTTAGCCAGCACCCGGGTGACCTCACCCTCACCGCCTTTGTCGACACCCTCACCGAGATCGAGACTCGTCAGCGCACTATCGCTCAGTCGAGCGGTGCGCCAGCAGTCTCTATCTTTCACGGCTGTGCCCCCTCCCAGTGCACGTTCACTGACGTTTCGGCTGCGGTCGCCACAGCGACCCCTCTCACCGAGACGGCTGCTGCGGTCCACCCTCAGCAGCGCTCGCGCCGCGGTGACCGTGGTCGCCAGGGAGGTAGGGGTGGTGGCGCAGGTGGTGGTGGAGGTGGTGGTGACGGTAGTCCGCCTGCGGGGACTACCACAGGTGGGCAGGAGCAGCAGCCCCAGCCGCAGCAGGAGCAGCCCCAGCCGCAGCCGCCGTCCCAGCAGCAGCCGCCGTCCCAGCAGCAGTCGCCGCAGCCGTGGGCCCGTCTCCCGCCTGGTTGGCCCGACACCTCCGGAGGTAGTGGCCGTGGTGGCGGCCCGCGCAGCTTGGCGTCTACCGGCGGCTCCGGTGCTGTCACCTTCCAGTACCAGCTTCAGACTGGGCCTCTTCGCGGCACTCTGTGCGGCCGCCCGCACCCGACCGCCCGCTGTTTCCGCCGCCTCGACAATCTCTTTCGTCGTCGCTTTGGTCCGGCCCCGGACCTCCCCGACTGGTACAGCCTGCTCCGCCAGGGCATGCCGATCTTTGAGTTGGACATGGATCAGATAGGTGCTGCTTTGCATGCTTTGTATTCTGACGCTTCTAGTGTTGCTGGATCTTATTACCCTGTGTACTCTAGTTTAGGTGTTGCACCATTGTATAGCTTAGCCTCCCCTGCTGTGTAAGGCGTAGGACTGCCTAGCTTGCCTAGTCTAGTCGCTGCATCGGCTCCGTCCCCGGCCTCAGCCACTGCTTCTCTGTCCTTCACTCTCGACTCCGGTGCTTTTGCCTGCTTCTTCCACGACCGTTCCACACTCACGCCGCTTGCTGCGCCTGCTATTGTCTCTCTCGCTGACCCTTCTGCGGGTCCTGTCGTCGCTCGCAATTCTACGTCCCTTCCCTGTCCAGTAGTTCCCTCAACCTCCCTTACAGGCCTCCACGTTCCCTCGTTCTCGAGGAACCTGGTTGGTGTCGGCTGTCTCCAGGACCTCGGCGTCACCACTACGTTCCCTGGGCACGAGCGGTTCGCTGTCTGTTCTGAGGCTGTCTCAGGTTCCCCCCTTGCGACGTTCCCCCGAGACCCGGTGTCCGGTCTGTTCACCCTCGACACCGCTTCCCCCACGGTTGGTGCGTCCTCCCAGGTCGCTGCAGCTTGCTCGTGTCGGTCCCTCACTCACCCGTCCCTTCTCTGGCACCACCGCTTAGGTCACCCTGCTCTCCCGCGTCTGTGTCACATGTCCCAGCACGGTCTTGTCTTAGGTCTCCCCGTGTCGCTCCCTGCCCTTCCTCCCTCGACTGCGCCACCGTGCACGCCTTGCGTCGAGGGTCGGCTCCGCCGTGCTCCTCACTCCTCCTCGCTGCGCCCTGCTACTGCCCCCCTTCAGACCCTGCACCTGGACGTTTGGGGCCCTGCCCCCGTCCCCGGACCGCGTGGTGAGCGCTACTTCCTTGAGCTCGTCGACGACTACACGCGCTATACCACGGTGTTTCCCCTGGAGTGGAAGGCCGACGTGCCCGACGTTCTTCTCCCGTGGGTTGTGGCTGCGCGTCTTCACCGCGGTCTCCCCGTGTTGTGTCTCCACTCTGACCGTGGCAGCGAGTTCGCCTCTGGTCGGCTTGGACAGTTCTGTCGTGCGGAGGGCATCACCCAGTCGTACACCTTGCCGGACTCGCCACAGCAGAATGGGGTTGCTGAGCGCCGCATCGGCTTGGTCATGGAGGTCGCCCGTACCTCCATGATTCATGCCGATGCCCCCCATTTTCTGTGGCCGTTCGCTGTTCGCTACGCTGCTCACCAGCTTAACTTGTGGCCACGCTCCCAGCGGCCACAGGTTTTGCCGACCCTCCTTTGGACCGGGTCCCCGGGTGACGTGTCTGCATTCCACGTCTGGGGCTGCCTTGCTCATGTTTGTGCCTCTGGCACGGACAAGCTTACTGCCCACACGGTCCCCTGTGTCTTCCTCGGTTTCCCCCTGGACTCGTCTGACTGGCTTTTCTACCACCCGCCGTCTCACCGCTTCCTCCATTCTCGTGACGTCACCTTTGACGAGTCCATCTCCTTCTACCGCCGCTTCCCTCACCGCGGTCTCCCGGTTGCCCTGCCCCTGTTCCTTGCTCCCTCTCCCCTGGTAGCCCCTGCTCCTCTCCCGCCTCGCCCTGCCCTGTCTGGTGTCTCTCACATCACTCCCCTCCCGTCGGTTGTCCTCGTTGAGGAGTCCGCTGACTCTGGTGGTACCCCCTGCCTGTCCTTGCCGCGTCCCCCTTCCCCGGTGTCTTCGCCTCCACTGTCGCAGTCGCCGCCTCTGCCGCAGCCGCTGCCGCCATCACCGCCGCTGCCATCGCCGCTGCTGCCGCCGCCGCTGCCGCCGCCGCCGCTCTTGGCCCCTGGGGGTGCTGGTGTGGAGGCGGGTGTTCTTCCTGCGGCTCCTGGGGGTGCCGCCGGTGTTGGAGGGGGTTCTCGCTCTAGGGGTGTTGGTTCTGGGGGTGCTGCTATTGAGGGTTATGGCCCAGCCGTCGCAGCAGCCGCGGCAGCCGTCGCCGCCGGTCTCCGCTCTCCGCCTGCTCGGCCTTCCCTCCCCGGACCGCTCGCCGGTGTCTCCCCCACCGCCTGCTGACCTTCCTGTCTACGGTCTTGTGTTCCCGCCACCGGACTCGTCTCCGGCCCGTCTTCCTTCTCGTTCCCCTCCTGTGTCTCCTCCGCTGTCCCCTGACCCTACACCTCCGTCTCACGTTTGGGCTCGCCGTCCCTCCCGTGCTCGTCCCGTCTCTCTTGTCCTGCGCTCCCACCCTATGTTGCTCCGTTCCCGCTCGTCTCGTCCTCCCCTCCTCCCGTCCCCTCCTCCCGTCCCCTCCTCCCTCGTCCCTTGCTGTTGCACCTCCTCCGTTCTCTGACTACCTCCGTGCTGCTCGTCCCCTTGTCCCTCGGGTCCTTGCCTCTCTTGTTACCGACCCTGCTGTTCCTGTCTCGCGCCTTGACGCGCTTGTCGCTGCTGTCGCTGACTTCGCCTCTACCCGCCGCCTTGACTACGCTACCGCTCTGGTCTCTGACCCTGCCCGTCCTCCGTCCGTCGGGGGTGCTCCTGCCCTTGGCAGTGACGTCCTAGAGGACAGGCAGTACGAGCTTGCTTTCCTTTCCGAGGCTGCTCCCCATCTCTTCTCCATGCTGCTAGTCCCTGAGGGTGACCCCGACGCTTTCGACATCCCAACCCCTCGCACCTACGCTGAGGCCACCTCGGGACCTTGGGCCTCTTAGTGGATAGCTGCCATGGAGTAGGAGATGGCATCTTGGAGGTCCACTGGCACTTACGTCGACGCAATTCCCCCGCCTGGGGTGAACGTAGTTGATGGTCGGTGGCTCTTCAAGGTGAAGCGCCCCCTTGGAGAGCCGCCTGTGTTCAAGGCGCGCTACGTGGCCAGAGGCTTCAGTCAGCGCGAGGGGGTTGACTTCTTCCAGACTTTCGCCCCGACCCCGAAGATGACCACTCTTCGGGCGCTGCTACACGTAGCAGCACAGCGCGACTACGAGCTTCACTCCCTAGACTTCTCTACTGCCTTTCTTCAGGGCAGCCCACACGAGCAGGTCTACCTGTGCCGACCACAGGGCTTCACTCATACCTTCCCCCCTGGGACCCAGTGGCTTCTCAGGCGCCCGGTCTACGGCCTGCGTCAGGCTCCCCGCAAGTGGCACGACACGCTGCGTGCCACGTTAGCAGACCTGCAGTTCTTTCCGTCCTCTGCTGACCCGTCGCTGTTTGTGCGTTCCGGCCAGACTCCGTTCTACATCCTTGTTTACGTAGATGACCTGGTCTTTGCTACTGCTGAAAGGGACGCAGTGGCCTCTGTGGATGCCGATCTGCTGAAGAGACACACCTGCACTGACCTTGGAGAGCTGCGTCGCTATCTTGGCCTGCAGATCTCTAGGGACAGAGCAGCACGCACCATCACTCTGACACAGTCACACTTGGTGCGTCAGGTCCTTCAGAGGTTCGGTCTTCAGTTCTCCTCCGCACAGCCCACACTTCTACCTGTAGACCATGGGCTCTCCGCTCCCGTTCCTGAGGAGCCAGTAGAGCCCAGTGGCCCCTACGCAGAGCTGGTGGGTTGTCTCATGTACGTGATGACTTGCACTCGCCCAGATCTCGCATACCCTCTCCGCATCCTGGCTCACTTTGTGGCTACATGCAGACACCGACCTTAGCACTGGTCTGCCGCTAAGAGGGTTTTGCGTTATCTTGCTAGTACATCGAGCATGGGGTTAGTGCTAGGAGGACGTAGGCCAGTGGTCCTTACTGGGCACACAGACGCTTCTTGGGCAGACGACTCTGAGACGCTCAGGTCGTCGCAGGGCTACTGTTTTAGCCTTGGTTCGGGTGCTATCTCTTGGAGATCCACTCGCTCGTCGTCTGTGGCTCAGTCCAGCTGTGAGGCTGAGATCTACGCTGGTGCCATGGCGGCACAGGAGCTCCGCTGGCTGACCTTCTTGCTCACTGACTTAGGTGAGCGGCCTAGCTCTGCCCCGGTCCTGTACGCTGACAACAGGGCCATGATACTCCTGTGTCAGGAGCCTCGGCTTGAGGGCAGAGCGAAGCATATCCAGCTGAGATACTTCCTTCTGCGCGAGCTACAGCAGCGCCGCCAGGCCCGCGTAGTTCACTTGGCCTCGGGTGCCAATACAGTTTATATCTTTACTAAAGCGCTTGCGCCTAAAGATCATCAGCGGCACTGTGTACAGCTGGATCTTGTTCCGGTAGCTATTCACCTGTTAGGATCCTGATTGTATACTCTCTATTATATATACCTGTCAGACTGGCCTTGTGGCCTCACCTCCAGTGGTCAGACTAGTAGTGCCGCCCTGGCTTGCTTTTGTCTTGTTTGTACTCTTGCTGACTGGTCTCCAGACCCCTGCCTTAGTGGTTGGACTAGTAGTGCCACCCTGAGCTATCTGCTTCTTGCTTAGCTTCACCCCTTGTCTAGCCTAGGGGGTGTGTCAACTTATACATATTAGCTTTGTAGAAGTTATTGGTTAGACTGGAGTATGCTTCTAGTGAGTACAACCAACTAGTATTTGTTCTAGGTTTCTCCTTCTAGTGCGCAATTCAGTTCTTACTTTAACACATGCTTCAATCGATACGGCATTTTGGTAGATCGTGGTGCTTTTTCCAGGGCCCGTCCGAAGTGCTGCTTGGTTTCCCGTTGAAGTTGCATGTGAAGCATCGAAGTGAGAGTGCATGGCATGCGATTGAATGACGGGGATGAGCATGGGGAAGAGCTAGGGGAAGCATAGTGGGGATGTAAAGGAGGCCAGCAAGACGAATGTGTGAAGGAGAGTCTCGATGCCAAGGAGCTTCTTAGAGAAGAAGTGAAATATTTAACTAGGTGAGTGGTGGATTTCATGGAAGCATATTGACTTGTGTTGCAAGGTTTAGAACATCTCATATCACATGCTCAGCAGTATCCACAAGGAACCGCACGAAACCTATTTACAACCGTACCGGGCCGCAATCTTTCCGCTCAACCGAAATGTCGAGGTGAGGCTGGGTAAGGAGCGACGGCCCCCGCATCGCGCGCGATTCAATCTGACTGACACCAGATTTTCCCGCCAACGGCGTGGGTGAGTGAGTGGTATGTAGCACGAGGAACAGCAACGCATGCACCGGGCTTCCCCACTCCCCAGGCCTCGACGACGCTCTCTTGGTTTCCACATCGCTCCACCGTGACTGTCTCGCCCGTCGTACGGTCGCGTACAAATCGCTGCGAGCCTCGGGATCGCCGCAATGGCCCCGCCGCACTAGGGCTGTTTGCTCGCGGATACTCGCGATTGTCCTTCCGTGTCTTGCGACGGTCGTCGTCGCTCTCCTGCCGCGCGTCGTCCAGTCCATCGCTCTCGCCGACTCCCAAGGTGTGCTGCGGCTGTTTCCAAATTAAAGTTGGTGGAAAATCAGTTTTGGTGTGCAATCGAAGGCGTTCTTTAGTTCAGAAATCAGCCACATTTTCGATCGCACGAGTAGGCTGGAGCATGCAACGTCTTGATCGACTGGATTGCTCTCTCTCTCTCAACCTTCCTTGCGTCGTCCTCGCGGCTTAATTTCCGCCTCTTGCGAGCGTGAGAGAGAGCGAGCGTGCGAGCGTGGGAGCGTGGGAGCGTGGGCGACGCTGAAGATCATCATGCCTGGCCGAGCACGGCTTCACACGCCTCGCCCTGAGATTCCTTCCCTCGCGCCTCGCCCCTCTCCCCATTCCTCCTCCCATTATTCCAACACCTTCTGCCCTCCCCCACTCCCTTTCTGCCCTCGGCTCCCCGTGCACTCGGCGCGCAGCGGCGGCGCTGCTGGAGTGCGCGTCGGAGTGGGGGATGAGCGCGATGGGGTGGGCGCAAGGCGCGGAGTGCGCGCAGGCGCAGGCGATCACATGCGACCGGGACGGCATGGTGACGTCACTGTGAGTGCGACGGGCGAGGCCATGGCGACACGGACTACACTACTTGCTTGGTCGAGCGACGGGGCGTCGCTCGCACCCTCTCCCCACAACCCCTCAGGGCTCTCCTCTCTGCATGAATCACAACCCCTCTCCTCTCTGCATGAATCACAAACCCCTCTCCTCTCTGCATGAATCACAACCCCTCTCCTCTCTGCATGAATCACAACCCTCTCCTCTCTGCATGAATCCCAACCCCTCTCCTCTCTGCATGAATCACAACCCCTCTCCTCTCTGCATGAATCCCAACCCCTTCTCTTCTGCATGAATCACAACCCTCTCCTCTCTGCAATGAATCACAACCCCTTCCTCTCTGCATGAATCACAACCCCTCTCATCTCTGCCATGAATCCCAACCTCTCCTCTCGCATGAATCCCAACCCCTCTCCTCTCCTGCATGAATCCCAACCCCTCTCCTCTGCATGAATCCCAACCCCTCTCCTCTCTGCAGAATCCCAACCCCTCTCCTCTCTGCATGAATCAAACCCCTCTCCTCTCGCATGAATCCCACCCCCTCTCCTCTCTGCATGAATCCCAACCCCTCTCCTCTCTGCATGAATCCCAACCCCTCTCCTCTCTGCATGAATCCCAACCCCTCTCCTCTCTGCATGAATCCCAACCCCTCTCCTCTCTGCATGAATCCCAACCCCTCTCCTCTCTGGCATGAATCCCAACCCCTCTCCTTCTCTGCATGAATCCCGACCCCTCTCCTCTCTGCATGAATCCCAACCCCTCTCCTCTCTGCATGAATCCCAACCCCTCTCCTCTCTGCATGAATCCCAACCCCTCTCCTCTCTGCATGAATCCCAACCCCTCTCCTCTCTGCATGAATCCAACCCTCTCCTCTCTGCATGAATCCCAACCCCTCTCCTCTCTGCATGAATCCAACCCCTCTCCTCTCTGCATGAATCCCAACCCCTCTCCTCTCTGCATGAATCCAACCCCTCTCCTCTCTGCATGAATCCAACCCCTCTCCTCTCTGCATGAATCCCAACCCCTCTCCTCTCTGCATGAATCACAACCCCTCTCCTCTCTGCATGAATCACAACCCCTCTCCTCTCTGCATGAATCCCAACCCCTCTCCTCTCTGCATGAATCACAACCCCTCTCCTCTCTGCATGAATCCCAACCCCTCTCCTCTCTGCATGAATCCAACCCCTCTCCTCTCTGCATGAATCCCAACCCCTCTCCTCTCTGCATGAATCCAACCCCTCTCCTCTCTGCATGAATCCAACCCCTCTCCTCTCTGCATGAATCCAACCCCTCTCCTCTCTGCATGAATCCCAACCCCTCTCCTCTCTGCATGAATCCCAACCCCTCTCCTCTCTGCATGAATCCCAACCCCTCTCCTCTCTGCATGAATCCCAACCCCTCTCCTCTCTGCATGAATCCCAACCCCTCTCCTCTCTGCATGAATCCCAACCCCTCTCCTCTCTGCATGAATCCCAACCCCTCTCCTCTCTGCATGAATCCCAACCCCTCTCCTCTCTGCATGAATCCCAACCCCTCTCCTCTCTGCATGAATCCCAACCCCTCTCCTCTCTGCATGAATCCCAACCCCTCTCCTCTCTGCATGAATCCCAACCCCTCTCCTCTCTGCATGAATCCCAACCCCTCTCCTCTCTGCATGAATCCCAACCCCTCTCCTCTCTGCATGAATCCCAACCCCTCTCCTCTCTGCATGAATCCCAACCCCTCTCCTCTCTGCATGAATCCCAACCCCTCTCCTCTCTGCATGAATCCCAACCCCTCTCCTCTCTGCATGAATCCCAACCCCTCTCCTCTCTGCATGAATCCAACCCTCTCCTCTCTGCATGAATCACAACCCCTCTCCTCTCTGCATGAATCCCAACCCCTCTCCTCTCTGCATGAATCCCAACCCCTCTCCTCTCTGCATGAATCACAACCCCTCTCCTCTCTGCATGAATCCCAACCCCTCTCCTCTCTGCATGAATCACAACCCCTCTCCTCTCTGCATGAATCACAACCCCTCTCCTCTCAGTCGCTCTCCTTCTCCCCCCTCCTCTCTCTCTCTCTCGTGTCTGGCCGATTAAACGTCGCACTCTCCTTCACCTTCTCCTGCTTGCTCGCATGCGTTGCCCTCTCCTTCACCTTCTCCTGCTTGCTCGCATGCGTTGCCCTCTCCTTCACCTTCTCCTGCTTGCTCGCATGCGTTGCCTCTCTTCACCTTCTCCTGCTTGCTCGCATGCGTTGCCCTCTGCCCATCTCCATCACACCCGCCACCACCCTCTCCCCCCCCCCCGCCACACCCCTTCCCCCCCCGGCGTGCAGCGATCTGCAGTTCAACGATCTGTGGGGCCCTGTGCCGCCCGCCCTCTCCACCCTCGCCGCCTGCACACGCTGTGAGGCACCCTGAGGGAGCGCCCTGTGCAGCACCCCGCACCCTGCACCCTGTGAAAGGGAATGCACCGTGTGCCTGTGAGGGGGTTAGGGCCTGGGTTGGGGATGCTGTGCGTTGCGCCTTGCGTGGGACGAGCCCTGTGCATGCGGTGCTGAAGGGCGCTGCTAAATACGCCATATCATATGTGTGTGTGTCTGCACGCATGCATGTATGCATGTGTGTGTGCATGTGTGCATCTGTGTGTAAGTGCGTGCGTGCGTGCGTGCGTGCGTGCGTGTGTGTGTGTGCATATTTGAGTGCATGTGTGTGTGTGCATGTGCGTTGTGTGCATGTTTGAGAGCATGTGTGCATGTGTGTGTGTACGTGCATGTGTGTGTGTGCATGTTTAAGTGCATGTGTGTGTGTGCATGCTTATGTGCACGGGTGCATGTGTGTGTACGCCCATGTGCCGGCAGGGACCTAAACCGCAACAACTTCACGGGCCCTATTTTCAACGTCGTGTCCAACATGCCATCGCTAGTCGACCTGTAACACCTGCATCTACCTGCCCTGTAACAACTATCAGTCGATGCTCTCCGTGCCTTGCCCTCTCCTCTCCTCTCACTTTCTCCCCCTCTCCCCCTCCCACGCTATCCCCTCGCCCTACCCCCCCCAGCAAGCTCTACCACAACCGTTTCACAGGGCCCATCCCGCCCGCCATCTCGCGCCTGCACCGACTAACCCACCTGTCAGTCGCCCTCGCTTGCCATTCCCCTCTCCCCCCCTCCCCGGCACGAGTCCGCCAATTTCTCCCTTCCTCCCCTCGCTTTCTCTTGCCAATCCTCTTCTTTGGGGTCTCTTTTCGTCTCACTATACACTTGGCTTCCCCCTCTGCTTCCTCCACTCCTCCTGTCCCCAACCTGCCCCCAGCGATATCGACTCCAACAACTTCCAAGGGCCGCTGCCACCCCGCCTTCGGCTCCGTCTCAAGCACTGTCTTACCTGTATGCCTCTCTTACCTGTACGCCTCTCTTATCTGTACGCTTGTCGCGCCTCTTCCCTCTTGCCTTGGCCCTCTCTCACCTCTTTCCTGAAGATCCCATGCCATGCATGCCATGCCATGCCCTCCCAGGAGCTTGTCGGCGATCGGCCTCTCTGGCTTGCTGCCCGAAGCCATCAGTGGGCTCACTGCCTTGCATGCAATGCCTGTAACGTGCCTCGCTGTTCTGCACAGCCTGTAACGCATGCCCTCACCTCGCTGCGAAGCCTGTAGCACATCGCTGGATCGCAACCACGATTCCAGTCATTGTACCCTCTGGTGCCTTCCATCGCCGCCTCTGGTGTCTCCATCGCCGCTCTGGTGCCTTCCATCGCCGCCTGCATGCCAGTGCCGTGGCATGACCGTGCTTGCGTCCTCCGTGCGCCTCTCGTTGCACGTGTCCCTCCATTGCGTGCGTGTGCCTCTCTGTGTGCGTGTGCCTCTCTGTGTGCGCTGCACTGCACTGCACCCACCAGCTACGCATCCGCCAACACCATCACAGGCAGCATCCCCACGGCCCTCGCTGCCCTCCCCCGCCTCAAGTTCCTGTGAGTGGCCACCGCGCCTCGGACATCTCACTCCCCAGCTCTTGCTCCTCAGCGCCCCGCTGCTGCGCTCGCTCTCGCTCTCGCTCTCACTCTCCCTGCCCTGCTGTGCTTCTGGGGAGGCGTGCATGAGACCACCACACCACACAGTCACCAACGCCCTTGGGAAGCACAGCAGCCTCAGGGGCAGCAGCCCCTCAGGCAAGGGGAGGGGGGGGGTGAGCATCTACAACGCAGAGTCTTTGCGAGCCCTCCCAACACTAACCCCGCCACCCCCCCTCCCCTCCGTCCCCATGCCTCTCAGGTCTCTGAGTCAGAACCCCATCACGGGCTCTCTGCCTGACGCCCTCTCCCGCCTCACCGCCCTCGAACACCTGTCAGACCCCACCCAACCCCTTCTTCCTCCCCACTGCAACGCCTGTCATGAGACTCCATTTTGCACTCACTCCTTCACTCCGCACCGCTCTGCTCCACCTCTCATCCTCTACCTTCCAACCCTCCTACGTCCCGCTCACTCCACGCCTCACATTCCCCTCCCATCCGATTCCATCCTTCATCACCATCCCCACTCCCCTCCCCCCCTCCCTCCTCCCGTCAGCACGCTCAGCGAAACCAGCATCACGGGTCAGCTGCCACGCTCCCTCTCCGCCCTCACCCGCCTCACCACCCTGTGCGGCCCTCCCTCTCGCATGCTCCCACGTGGCTCATGCTTCCCACCCATGCCCTCTGCATTAACCCATTATGCGAGCAGTCGTTGCTTCATCCATCCTCATTTGCTTCCTTTCACCCAAACCAGGTTACCATTTGTCGACTTGCACACCTTTACCGAATCTCCTGTCATTGGCATTCACATTAACCACATTCCCACCTCTCAACTTCTTCTCCTCCCTTTCCTCTCTAACCGTCTTTCTCATGGCCTCGTTCACACTACCTCTCCTCCTCCCTTTCCTCTTTCCTCCCTTCGCATTCACACAAACCACATCCCCACCTCTCATCTCCCTCTCCTCCCTTTCCTCGTCCTCAAACATGAACCCCATTCAGTGACTTGCTCAACATGAAGCTTCAAGGAAGCATCCCCGCCACTTTTGGAGCCCTCACTAACCTTGTGTCCTTGTGCGAATGCCTCGTCCCTCGTTCAGCCCCCTTTGAGTCGCCTCGTCCCTCGTTCAGCCCCCTTTGAGTCGCCTCGTCCCTCGTTCAGCCCCCTTTGAGTCGCCTCGTCCCTCGTTCAGCCCCTTTGAGTCGCCTCGTCCTCGTTCAGCCCCTTTGAGTCGCCTCGTCCCTCGTTCAGCCCCTTTGAGTCGCCTCGTCCCTCGTTCAGCCCTTTGAGTCGCCTCGTCCCTCGTTCAGCCCCTTGCAATTTTCAGCTCTTGCCGCACCCCTTCAACATTTCTCCTCTCCCATTCAACCACTATGTTCCTTGTGGGTAGCTATACACATCTATATTGTGAATATATTTTCGCAAGCTCCTCCGTATGTGTTTTATTAGGTACTCGAGTCACATATCGTTGTGTGTTAATGTGTGTACCCACACACACATATGCGCGCTCACATTTCTCCGAAATTATTAACATCTCTTGTGTTTCTTCCCTTCCGACCCTGTCATGTTATACAGATACTTTTCCGGCGCAACCTGTCCACTCGAGGGCAGCTGTGAAATTAATCAGAACCGTTCATCTGTGTTCTGCAGAATCTGCTCAACCTTCTGCTCCTCATGCATCCCAATCAATGGTCAGGATCACATCAAACATGCATCTTCCGAGTAATGCTTGTAGCTCTCACGAGTCCACTCCTCACAATCCCCACCTTCAGTGCACAGAACGAACAGCTAACATTTCCCCCCCTCCCCCCCTCTTCCGCTCAAAATCTCTTTCCATTCATCATTCCCGAATCCCCATCCCCTCCCCCAGCACCGCTCCGCAGTCCCCTCCCCCATCCCCTCCTCCCTCCGCCGTCCCCCTCCCCTCCCCCGCCTCCCCCCATCATCCCCTCCTCCTCGCCCCCTTCCCCGCCTCCCTCCGCCCTCCTCCCTTCCCCCCTCCGCCATTGCCGGTGCAGCAGTGGGGGCGCTGCTGCTGCTGCTGGCGGCGGTGGTGGGGGGTGGGGGTGTGGAGGTGGAGGAAGGGGAGGCAGAGAGGGGGAGAGGATGCAGGTGCGCCCATGCTCAAGCCCCCTCCGTGCCCTCGCATACCCCTTGCTGACGTCATCCGGGCCACCAATGGGTGGGCAGAGGGGCGGAGGGTGGGGGGAGGCAGGTGGAGTGACGTGTACAGGGGGGAGGTGGGGGAGGGGCGGAGGGGTGGGAGGGGAGGGAAGGCGAGAAGGATGGGGGAAGGATGGGGGAAGGATGGGGAGAAGGATGGGGGAAGGATGGGGGAAGGATGGGGGAAAGATGGGGATGGGACAGGAGGAGAGATGAACCAGGAAGGGGCGGAGGAGGGGGTAGGGCCGCAGGGGCGGCAAGGGGAGGGTGCAGGGAGGGGGGGAGTGCGGGGCCGGAGGGGCGTGTGGGCGGTGAAGCGCATGGGGGGGGGGGCTCAGCGCCTCGTTTGAGGCTCACGTGCATGGCTTGGCGCGCCTGGTGCACCCCAACGTGCTCCGCCTGCTGGGGTGGCTGGGAGGGAAGGGGGGGAGGGGGCATGCGGGGAGGGAGGTGGGAGGGAGGGGGATTTATGGGGGAGTGCAGAGGGAAGGAGGGGAGGGAGCAGGAGGGGAGGGAGGAGCAGGTGGTGGTGTACGAGTGGATGGAGCACGGCAGCCTTGAGACGATGCTGCAGTCGCCAGGCGCCAGCCCCCTGTCGCTGCGGCAGCGCGTGGACATCCTTGTGGGCGTGCTGAGGGCGCTCAAGGCGGTGCAGAGCCACGGGCTGGTGCACGGCGACCTCAAGCCCAGCAACGTGCTGCTGGGGGCCGCCTACGAGGTGAGACTCATGGGCGCTGCTCGGTGCGGCGCACGAGGTGCGTGAGGTGGTCAGCGCTCGCACGTGCGCATCACTGCTCCTCCAGCAGCTCCATTCCGCCACATCCGCGCCCAGACGACCCTCCCCTTGCCCCCCCTGCCACACTCCTCCCGTGCGCCTCTCCCCTCCCCCTCTCCCCCAGCCCCGAGTGGGCGACTGGAGCCTGGTGCGCATGGGGCAGCGCGTGCACGTAGACATGGGGGGAGAGGGGGGCGGGGAGCCGGGGAGGACATGGGGGAGGGGGGCGCAGCGGAGGCGGGGGAAGGATTGGGAGGGCAGCAGGAAGGATCCCTGACAGGCGGGATCAGGGAAGACAGCGAGGGGGGGAGCAGGGGTGGCAGCAGTAGCAGCAGTGGGCATTGGACCGAGAGAAGCAGGAATGGTGTCAGCGCTGGTGGCGTGGGGCAGGCGAGTGTGCTGCGGTGCACGGAGGGGCATGTGGATCCCATGGTGCTGCAGAGCGGCCTTGCCACCGCCACAGCTGACATGTACAGGTGGGTGCGCCACAGCAAGCAGTATTTCGGTTGGATTGCCATTGCACCACATGTATTACTCTCAGGTATGTTTCCAGAATAAGTCATGTGCATTAACTGCAATCACTCCCTCCTCTTCCCACAACCCCCCTGCGTGCCCTCGCCAGTGTGGGCGTGGTACTGCTGCAGCTGCTCACGGGGTGGGCTGCTCCGTTCAAGCTACTGGATGGGCAGCGCACGCACATTTGTGACTGGGTGAGTCCGGGCACGGCATGACATGGTGTGGTTGTGGCGAGACGATGATGGTTGTGGTGATGGTGCAGGCACAGTGTGCATTGAGCTTGCACTCTTGTTGACACTGCATGCAATGCGTCAAACGGCATGCCTCATGTTGTATCCGCTGAATCTCTCTCGCTCACACGGCCCTTCTTCCCATCTCCCTTGCCCCTTCGCACTGCTTCACTCCCCATCCCTCCCCCTGCCCACCTCTCCCCTGCTCCCTCCCCCACGCTCAGGCCCAGCAGCAATGTGACAGCAGGCGACGTCTCTCCTCTCCTCGACCCACTCCTGCCGCACCCTGCACCCCCTCCCTCCCTCCCCCTCTCCCTCTTCCACCTCGCTCTCTCCTGCGCCTCCCCTTCCCCTCCTCCCGCCCCACGCCCTCCTCTGCCCTGCTCGCCCTCAAGCCCCTCCGCGCCTCGCTCCAGGGAGGCGGACAGGCACAGGGGAGGGGGAGAAAGAAGGGAGGGTGGGGAAGATGGTGGGAGGGGGCAGAGCAGCGGGGGATGGAGCGGGCTGTTTGGGGGGTGGTGGTGCAGGTGCGAGTGGGGGGTTCAGCGGTGGTGCGCTGGGGCGCAGGCTGGCAATGCTGGGCGCCGAGGACAGCCGGGAGTTCGTGGTGTAGACCAAGGTGGGGGGGTGGGGGAGGCGTTATCTGCCCCATGTCGCTGTCTTTCCCGTGTGCCTGGGCTGCGTGAGCTGGGAGGTGTTTGCACAACACAACTTTTATTGTCACTCTTCTCTGCTACACTGGAACTTTTTATCTGATCTGATCCGATCTGATCTGATCTGATCCGATCTGATCTGTATACCATGTACCCAGTGCTTGTCTTCTCCTGGACTTACTTGGCCATACGTCATCTCTTGGTGATTCATTAGAGTATGCCTTGTGTGCACCACAATATTTACTACCATGTCTCCACTAGTATCAACGAGACGCAACACAAGCAGTTCACTGGTGACAGCGGCTTGGAGCCGTAAGCATAGGTGACGGCCCCTGGGAATTGTCGAGGCAGTGGTGGCGGACCGTGGCAGTGGTCTAGGCGCTGGGGAACGGTGACCTCGACCTCGATGCCGGGCTCGATGCTGATGGAGGTGATCTGCTTCACCACCTCGGACGGGCTCACCAGGTAGATCACGCGCTTGTGCACCCTAAGCTCAAACGTGTCCCACGTGTTCGTTCCTAAGGAGGGGAGGAGGGGCCGGGGGGGGGGGGAGGGGGGGGAAGGGAAAGGATAGAAGATGAGTGATAGCAACAAAGAATGGGAAGCGGCGGGCCCAGCTGTCGAAGGCCAACGGCAAGTGAGCGGCAAGGAGGAGCGAGGAGCCCGGTTGAGGCCAGTGGATGGTGCGCGTGGAACAGAGGAGCAGGGCAGTCCTGGCACCAGACGCATGCTGCCTCTTGTTCTTTCCATCTCCGATCGTGCAGGGGCATCTCGCACGATTCACATACCATGCGTTTCCCTCCCTTTGTTGCCGGCTCAAGAGCCCAGGCCTACTCGGCTGTGTTTCATCTGCAATTCACAACCAGCCATGCGACTCGGGCGACTCACCGTTGCCGCAGGGCGACTTGCGCGTGGTGTGGCGGAGCACCTTGGTGGGCATGCGCACGGGGCCCTTCACCTTGATCCGCTTCTCCTTGGCGCCGCGCACCAGGTCCGCGCACACTGAAACGCGCGCAAGCAGGGCGCGCGGAACAAAGCGAGGCATGGGAGGGAGTGAGGGAAGAGACGGAAACGAGAAAAGGAAAATGAGCATGGAGCAGTTTAAGATAAGCGCGCGAAACAGCGGAGGGTGGAAACGGTCGCAGCCATGTAAACGCTCGAAAGCTCGTGGCAGTCCATCGCCGCCGCTGTGGAGCGAACAGCGGGCCGCATCAGTCTATCGCCCTAGGCTGAACCAAGCCCGAAACCCCGCCTCAAGGGCAGTACCAGGATCGCCCCGAGGGCAGCGAACGCACACTGAATGTCACGCGCCAATCAGGAATAGAAGGAGATGGCAGGGATGAAAAGACAGCACTCGGTAAAATCCAGCGCGCAAATCCGACACCAGCACATCGCACCCAACGGCCGCAGGCAACAGGCAACATGCACGAATTCACGCGTTGCGAGGACTAACCCTTCTCGAGGCTCTTGACGTTGTTCATGCAGCTGAGCGTGATGCGGATGTTATGCACCTGCTGCTCCACCGGGGTCTCCTCCAGCCCCGCCTTCGCGGACTTCACGGGCGGCGGCACGCCTGCCATGATGCCTTCGCTAGCTGACCTGGACGAAACGAGAAAAGGGACACCATGGTTTGCTGGCCCGCTCGCTAACTTCCGCCGCTGATCGGCATTCACTGGGACCCACGCCTTGAGCCGTCGATCACATGGCGGAAAATCGCACTGGTTGGATTGGTTGCTTCGACATCCGCCGAAAGCACAAAGGCATACTACCAGGAAAGGCACGCGAACGTTCTTACTTGTCTTAGATTGTCGAGCGCACCCCCGAGACAGACGCCGGAGAACCGACCGCTTGCTGAGGGGTTTAGCAAAGAAAGTGTAAGAACGTGAAAGGAAGAACGAGGGAGGGCGCGAGACTCTTACACTGGCGGGGAGGAGGTTGGGGGGAAGATCGCCAGCACGCTGGATCCTCTCTAAAAGTGGACCATGATAACAGCAAATCAATGTGAGTCGTAAATTCCGTGAACACTACATTCGTTACATCAGCTAACTTAGAGAGTGAAACCATTTCTCCCAAACAATTCGGTGGTCCAGCAGCACTTTTGCATAAAAGCAAATGTGTTTGCATTTCCCGTACAATCACCTTGGTAATGCTACTGTTACAAGTAACTTCTCCCGAACATCAGGAGACAGGATTCATTTTCGCCTTTACCGTGCTGGATTTCCGCACGTGAGCACTCGAACTGCCGTTGGATGACGGACAGGTATCTTTCAGGTGCATTCTGACGTGGACCGGCAAAAGTGCCCTGGTTTCCTTGCTCCTTGGGCAGCGGGCAAATTTCTGATGACAGATTCGGCCGCCTCCGCCACCTCAGCTTCCCGCTTCCTTGCTGGAGCCCGCTTGCGGCCACATCCTGTGAGAAGGTTCCTTGCCCCGTGGGAAGCCCCAAGAGCCGCGCTCGTTACAGTCACATCCCCGTCAGCCCAGGGAATAAGATGCATGCCCATCGTCTCACAACTCCCTTTTCCTTTTCCCAACTCTTTTCTTTTCGTACAACCCTAGTCTCGCGTCAAGTTAGTTATCTTGGCACCCGCCCGACTCGTTTACGCATAACTCGGAAACGCTAAGTAGTCTCGAACCCTGAGCAAACCCCTCTTTGGGATTCTCAGATCTTTTCTTTCCCCAGCGAGCGAGCATGGCTGCCTTGGAGCTGTCCGCCGTGTCGTCGCGTCTAACCGCCGTGGACGCTACCGGCATCGTTCAGAAGACCACTACCCTCAACGCCAAACCCGCATTCTTCGGGACTTCCGTTCGCCACACCGCTAACGCGCCATGCCAGCGCCGCTCGCGAGCCGCGCGTGCCGAGGCTCCCTCCGAGGGCGCGAAGGCGGGCGTGGCGAGCCGGCCGGCCGTGTCGCAGGACGCAGACTTGGCGCTGCAGAGCCAGCGCGTGAGCAGCGGCAAGTCGCTCGTGGCGCCCACGCCCAAGGGGTTCGTGTCGCGGTACGGCGACAACGAGCCGCGCAAGGGCTGCGACATTCTCGTCGAGGCGCTCGAGCGCGAGGGCGTCCGCACGCTCTTCGCGTACCCTGGCGGCGCGTCGCTGGAGATTCACCAGGTACGCGTTTCTATTCAGAATCTACGGGCGCTCCTTGGAAAAGCATCTCTTGTAGTTCTCGTCTCCTCGCATATTACGCCTCCTGCGCCGTTCGCTGTTCCCCCGTTTGCCGTTTGTCGGCATTGCCGGCGAAACTGCACCAGAGCTGATGACTTTTCAAAGAAAGATCTTCCCTCGCCAAAGACGGCACTTTTTGGCGACGGCAAACCCTAATCACCGCCTCCCCGTTCTTCCCCGCGGAACCTCCCCCCCACCCCGGCAGGCGCTGACCCGGTCCGACAACATCCGCACGATCCTGTGCCGCCACGAGCAGGGCGAGGTGTTCGCCGCCGAGGGCTACGCCAAGGTGTCGGGGCGCGTGGGCGTGTGCATCGCGACGTCGGGGCCCGGCGCGACGAATCTGGTCACAGGGCTGGCGGACGCCATGCTGGACTCGGTGCCGCTGGTGGCCATCACGGGGCAGGTGCCGCGGCCGTTCATCGGCACGGACGCGTTCCAGGAGACGCCGATCGTGGAGGTGACGCGCTCCATCACGAAGCACAACTACCTCGTCATGGACGTCGACGACATCCCGCGCATCGGTGAGCCGCTCTCTACGATTCTCCAAGATCTCCCTGAACGACATCCCACGCGCCCGTGAGTTGAGAGCGAACGCGCGCTCCTCCTTTACGCGTCGGTGAGCCTTTTGAGTCGACTCGAACATTACCAAGCACAACTGCCTCGTCATGCTCGGCGACGATATTCCGGGCGTCTGTGAGAGCTCGTTTCAAGATTTTTCGAAGATCTCTCACAACGACATCCCGTTGGCGAGCCGCCTCCAGAACCGAGAGCCATCACGTCAGTGCGTCATGTATCTTGCGGAAATACCCAAGATTCATATAAAGCAGTTGAGGACTCGTGGATCTTTTCAGTGCCACACGTCTTCCTCTCCATTTGACTGGCCTTCATGCTCTACCAAGCGCACGCGCCTCTCTCCTCATCCACCCTCCCCGCCCCGCACTCTTCCGCCTGCCTTCCCTCGGGTCCCCTCCCCCTCCGCCCCCTTCCCCCAGTGCGTGAGGCGTTCTTCCTGGCGGCGTCCGGCCGGCCCGGGCCGGTGCTGATCGACGTGCCCAAGGACATCCAGCAGCAGCTCGCGGTGCCCTCCTGGACCCAGCCCATGCGCCTCAACGCCTACCTCTCGCGCCTCCCGCCGCCGCCGCAGCGCGCGCAGGTCGACCAGATCGTCCGCCTACTGCGCTCCGCCAAGCGCCCCGTGGTGTACCTAGGCGGCGGCTGCCTGCACGCGGCGGACGAGGTGCGCGAGTTCGCGCGGCTGGCGGGCGTGCCGGTGGTGTCGACGCTGATGGGGCTGGGCGTGTACGACCAGTCGGCGCCCGACGCGCTGCACATGCTCGGCATGCACGGCACCGTGTACGCCAACTACGCCGTCGACTCCTCCGACCTGCTGCTGGCGTTCGGCGTGCGATTCGATGATCGCGTCACCGGCAAGCTCGACGTGAGTGCGCGCCGCTTTCCAGCTTGCTGCCTTGTCATGCAGTCTGTGTTGAGTGCTTTAGCTTCCCCTCAACCTCTCCCCGCAACGCTGCCACACGGAAGAGCGAACTCTGTCCGTGCTGGGTGTGTCCCGTCACTCCTTCACTCTCTCCCGTCCTCCGTGCCGCTTCTCCCCCCTTTCGCCCTTCCACCAGGCATTCGCGGCGCGCGCGTCGATAGTGCACATCGACATCGACCCGGCGGAGATTGGGAAGAACAAGGAGGCGCACGTGAGCATGCACGCGGACGTGCTGCCGGCGCTGGCGCTGATCAACGACGCCATCAAGGAGGAGGCGGCGGCGGGCCGCCCGCTGCCGTCGTACGCCGAGTGGCGCGACGAGTGCATGGCGCAGAAGGCGCAGTGGCC